CATGGCAATAAGGAAACAGGGCAAAAGAACCAAGTGTGAACTTTCTTTGTAACTAAATGTATAATGTAAAATCCCACCCCACCACATAACCTAAGAGGATTTCCACACATTTATACTGTGTTAACTTGAATTTGTCCCTGAAAGTATGCACCTAACAGGAAACCATAGTTAGTCCTTCTTTGCTATGCATGTTTCTATTCTTTGTATTGATGTTTGTGACAATTTTGTCACAATTTTTACATACTTCACACTTTTCAAGCACCTATTTAAACTTTTCACATATATTGAGACCTGACTATATCTGTAACTAAATGAGTGGTAGATTGTGCCATGTCTGTGTCTAGTTTCCTTAATTGCTAATTTATGAATTTCTAGTTTTGCTTCAGCTTAAAAAGCATATGACATTGGTGAGTTGTCATTAATTCTTTGTACTAAGCTGCTATGCATCATGTTTAAAGTCCTTAGCATATATACTTCAGCTTTCTATATCTCAATTCCTATCCATATTTGCTCCTTTTATTTCTTTCCTTTTTTCTTTACTTTATTTTATTATAACTAAGGTTGTAAATCTTTACTTAGTGCAAAGCAGTTTTGCATTGAAATGTATTTGTGCAATTTGACACATTTTTGTGAAAACATTGTATTTTGTACAAAATTATGTATTTACTATTTTACACAAATGAAATGTTCAAAAATCTACAAAAATGTTAAAAAGCACAAGTTTGCAAAATGTATTGAAACATGTCACCCACAAAACATTTGTGAATTAATTTTTCATATTACTGTATATTTGTAAAGTACACCTGAAAAGTAGATAATTTAAACTTGCCTTTTATTTTCCTCCAGTTCTTCATCTGAATAAGACTTTTCAAATTTGCTTTGAGTCTTTACTTTGAATGAAAGTAAAACCCATATATGCTCTCACTTCACCAAATAAATCCTTCCTTTTAATCCTTCTTCAAAAATGAACTTCTTTTATAAAAGATTTCCTGGGGCATTGCAACTTCACTTTTTGGGATGATTTCCACTTCAACTACTTCTCTTTACTCTTCTGTACTTCTTTGTCAACATTTTGAACACTTTCCCTTAGTCATCATGACCATATTTCACCTTTCCCTATTTCAGACTTTGTTTTGAAGTATTAAACGTAAGTGTGGTGGTGGGAATTTTATATATATACATTGCAAGAGAACGTTGCAATGCGGAGTGTACTTGCACAGTGCACCAGGCATGCATGTTCTCTTCCAGGTTGTGACATTCTGTTTTCCCTCTTCTTTTCAGTTTTTCAGTTAAAACCACAAACATTTTATGGCCTCTGGGCATACTCAGTCTTTTTCCGGTTGTGTTTGCTGACTTAACTCCCTCATCCGTAATGATTTGATGCACTTCTCTAACCTTGATGTCCTCACAAGTGTACTGATACCTCTTGGTTGATTATCAGTGGAACTGTTTGAATAAAATTCTGATAGCATTCATGACATGGGTTCGCTTTTAAAAGGAGTTAAGGAATTTTTGCAGTGTAGTCTTTCATTCAGGGGTTGGCATATTGATTCTACAAGTGGCTTCAACTAGCTGAGAATATTACTATTGTGATGTTGCTTGTGTATTAGCTACACAACAGGACAAAACTCTCTGAAGCTCTCTTTCAATGACTGGAACCTTTTTACTGGATTATTCTTTTATTTTACAATTTGATTGTACAATTAACAGGATGAATAGAAGGCTGATGCATTTCAAATAACTAAACATATTTTAGTGGCCACATCATCTTTAAAACACAGTTGTTGTTGTTATTGTTGTTGTTCATTCGTTCAGTCATTTCCAACTCTTTGTGACTTCATGGACTAGCCGACACCAGAGCTCCTTGTCGGTCGTCACCACCCCAGCTCCTTCAGAGTCAATCCAGTCACTTCAAAGATACCATCCTTAAACCTTGCCCTTGGTCGGCCCCTCTTCCTTTTTCCTTCCATTTTCCCCAGCATCATTGTCTTCTCTAAGCTTTCCTTTCTTCTCATGATGTGGCCAAAGTACTTCATCTTTGCCTCTACTATTCTTCCCTCCAATGAGCAGTCAGGCTTTATTTCTTGAAGTATGGACTGGTTGGATCTTCTCGCTGTCCAAGGCACTCTCAGCACTTTCCTCCAACACCACAGTTCAAAAGCATCTATCTTCCTTTGCTCAGCCTTCCCTATGGTCCAGCTCTCAAATCCATAGGTGACTATGGGGAATACCATTGCTTTAACTATTCAGATCTTTGTTGCCAGTGTGATGTCTCTACTTTTCACTATTTTATCAAGATTGGTCATTGCTCTCCTCCCAAGAAGTAAGCATCTCCTGATTATTATATATAACATAATTTTGAGGACTAATTTTTAGTACAGCACAAGCATGTGTAATTACTACTTCTTCAGATGCAATAGTTTAACAGTTAGCAGCAAGGAGTTAGCATAATGCTTGTCCTCAGTAATCCCTTTCTTAATTTAATTCTTAATTTAATTGTATCTTGTCCTTAAAAAGAGCTACAGATGTACAGTATAACAATGAAAAAATATGGGTGTGTAACAATAAATGGTCTACATAGTCTTTATAATGGGGGAAGCAGCTAATATCTCTGGTTTAGAGCTTAGAATACATCTTTTAGACTTTTAGAATTTTTGAATTGTACTCCAAAAAGTAGTTGGTCCAAGCTCTTGAGTTTATATGGTCCAATATTGTACCTGTTCATATTCAATTTCAGAAGTCATTATACTTTGTGTACAGTAAATAGCCGTATTTACAAAGTATTGTTCTTAGTCCTCAGTATGTATTTTCCTCTGAATATTTCTGTCTCTCTCACACACATTTACTATACATAACTGTTCTGTTTACCAGACCAACATTTATTTTTATCTGTATGGAAGGTTTGACATACTTGTAGATGAAGTCAATTGATAACAATTTTCTTCCTTAAAAATATTTGGGCTTCAAATAGAGGAAATAGAATGTTGTGTTTCTCTACACTTGGCAGACTGTGCCATTGGAAGCGACTCTTGTCATTGTGTGCTTTTAAACTATTTCCAACATATGGCTTATCATATGAACCTATCATGAGGTTTTAATGGCAAGATTTGTTGGGGGGGGGGTGTTGTCTTTGCCTTTGTCTGTTGCTGAGAGAGTGTGACTTGCCCAAGGTTGCCTACTGTTTTCTATGGCCAAATAGGGATTCACTTCCTGGTCTTCAGAGTTGGGAATCCAATGCTCAAACCACTACACTACCCTAGCTTTCAGGCTACTAATAGATGCCAGTATACTTTGGGCCACAAGAAGTATACTATCTCTGCATAACCTTTTAAACCTTTTCCCCATTGCTACTCTGGAATTCCAAACAGCCATTCAGTACTTTCTGCTTTCTCATTATTTATTTTATTTACTACACGTTTATTCCACCCTTTTCAGCCTGAAGGCAACTCATTAGAAATAGTGATGCAATTTCCACTAATTTTGTTGTCAGAGGAAGCAACTACTAATTTTAGTAATATCATTCCCACTGTGAGAATGAAAACTTTATCTATCTATATATCTACGTATATACTGTATAATTAAACTGATTATTTTTTAAAAAACCTATTATATTGCGACTTGCTCTATGCAAAATGTGTGCACACACGGTTGCTTTGTACAGAAAAAACATGCTAGAAAATACTTTTTCTGCACAGAAAATGCTGTGTTCTATATAGAAAGATTAATTTTATGTCAAACCATAGCCGGGTTGTGTGTAACTAGTCATTAGTGTGCATAACTAGTTTAACAAGAAGTGTTTGCTCTTTTCCTTCCTTCTTTTTTAAAAAGTTCACATATCCTTGAGTATGCCTTTCTAAACCTGGCATGATCAACTTGGGTATGTCGCAGCTGAAGTAAGGAGTTAAATACAGTTTAGTCAGTTCTGTGCCATGAAGCTGGAAATACAATCCCTGATTCCCACCCTCACCTCAGGGTAGTCCAGATCTTCCAAAGGGAAACATTTCTACCAGTGGAAATTTCTGAATCACCTTTCAAAACAAATAAACAAACCAGAAATCTTCCTATATTGCCCAACCCAACTCAAACTAGGAAAATTTAGTTCCCTACAGTCTGTCAAAAAAATGGGGGGGGGGGGGGGGACGGGTTCCATTAATATCACCTTTTAAAAAACCTGAAAGGAATTCAAAAGCATTGCAGACATCTACCGCATAAAACTACTAGCAGTCGGATGAAAGCTTTGACTTCTTCCGTTTAAGGGATTTCAGTGTGGCTGTGTGTGATCTTTCATCTCTACAAAGAGATCTAGCATAGTAAATTAACATCATGCTGTGGGGAGAAACCTGGTAGTTATTGATCTGACATTTGTCTCCTCTTTATTTACTTAAGCTCCTATTTGCTAAATGGAGGGTAAATTTCAGGCTCTCCCTTGTGATATTCCTTGGTGTTCTGGTGGAGTTTAGACTGCTTAGTTGCCGTTTGCATTTCATTATCATTCTTTGCTTACTTTTTTTCTTGTAAAACCATGTCCTAAGAAAACATATTTGTTGTGTTTCCAAAAATATTTTCTGCATATGTCACCAAGGATTTACTAAGTGGGTGAATTCTTCAGGCCAAAATCATTACTATTACATTGTAGAATAATTCTTGAGCCTCGTGGTTTCTTTGTACATCTGCTACAGAAGAATTCTAGTAGTCTACGCCATTTTTTTTGTTGATGTAGACTTTGATCTGGTGTAAAAGACTCATTATTTACATATAGAATGAAAAATTTCCATTTACAGCATATTCTAGATAGATAAATATTGACACTGGTTTAGGCTTAATTTATTTATAAAAATTACATAGTTGTTATGAGGCATCTAAGTGATGTAATAACTTGAGTGGAACATGAATCACAGGTGTAGACAGGAATATGTGTGCTTAGGAATCTGTATTTTGGAAGCATTGGAGGAAAATTCATATACTAAGACTTGGCTGGTTTTTCTTTACTCTGTTCTTAGGCCTAACTCCGCCTACAACCCCTCCTCACAAAGCGAACCAAGACAACCCTTTTAGGACTTCACCAAAGCCAAAGTCGTCATGCAAGTCTGTTATGCCACCTTCCAAAAAACCCCGCTGCAATGAGTCTTCCAGCTCTCAAAGACATAACTTAGGTCGGAAGGGTCCAGAGCAGTCAGAGCTGTATGCACAGCTTAGTAAGACGACCGTGCTGTCTGTTGGTCATGAGGAGAGGAAGACAAAGCGGCCTGGTTTGCGGTTGTTTGGTGACCATGACTACTGTCAGTCTGCTAATTCAAAAACAGGAATACACATCAACCGATCCCAGGAACCTCAGGATTCCAGACAAGTAGATTTAAATGGCAGGTTGCCTGAGCAGTGGTGTCATATTTGTTCTTCTTTTGAACAACACAATCAGTATGACAAGAGAGAGACTTCACAGGCAAGCAAGCAGGATTTGCAATGCAACAACCGCAAACAGCTCCAAGACCAAGAAATCCGGGCTGAACTCAACAAGCACTTTGGTCACCTTAGCCAAGCTGTTTTTGAGGAAGAGATCACCAAGATCAGTGAACTGAGGGACAACAGTAATTCTACTGATGAACAATTCTCCAAACTACCTATGTTTATAAATTCTGGACTAACAATGGATGGTCTTTTTGATGATAGCGAAGAAGAAAATGACAAACTATGTTGCTCGTGGGATGGAACACAGGCCTACTCACTGTTTGACCTGTCACCATCTTGCTCATCCTTTAATTCTCCATGCAGAGATTCAGTGTCTCCACCTAAATCCCTTCTTTCTCAAAGATTCCAAAGGATACGCTCTCGATCACGGTCCTTCCCTCAGCACAGGTCTTGTTCCCATTCTCCATATTCCCGATCAAGATCAAGGTCACCAGGCAGTAGATTCTCCTCAAGGTAATGTTGGAGAAGAGGGATGGTGAACAAGAACAATCAGTTTGATGGAATATGAAGTGAGACCATATGAAGTTGCCAAGCCTGACCTTTGTCAGCACCTTCTCCAGTACTAATCTAGTTATAGCTCATATGACACAAGGTTGCCATTTCAGTAATCTTTCCCTGTCTGAGTGACTGGGAGGAAAGATAAATCATTCAAATAGACACAGTTACCTTTCCCCTGAATTATGATGATGGAATTCATTATATTACAGCATGTGGTGATGGCCAACTAGTTAACAGATGTTTTTAAGAATGGACATCTGAGTATATGAAAGGATAGTAGTTATGATATTTTCAATGACTTGCATCCCTGATGGCTTGCCATACTAGGAAAAATGAGTCATGACTAGTGTTCAACCTGGAGCCCTTCTCATCTTCCATTGCTAGTAGCAGGGTACCGAGTTGTATAGCTCCGTGGCATTTCATATGTTGTTATTAGATTGCTATAGACAGCACAAGTTATTATTAGAAAGCCTCCTACGGAACTATAGATTTGGGCCACAAGAAGATTATAAGAACATAATGTGAATGGTTCATTCCTTCTAACCAAATACAATGTTATCTTTCTGTATTTCTTCTAACAGATCTTGTTACTATTATGAGTCCAGTCATTGTAGACCGCAGGCATATAGAAGTTCTCCCTTGTATTCAAGATCACGATCCAGATCACCATATAGCCATAGACCCAGGTAGCAAAAAATGCCCTATTTCTTTGTATCTCACACTTTTGTTTGTTGAATATATCAACAAATCAACTAACAAACATCCAATTCTTATTATTCATTTGTATGTCTGGAAAATTCCAGCATCTCATTGTAATGATTATGTTATGTCTCCTAGATATGACAGCTATGAGGAATATCAACATGAAAGGCTGAAGAGGGAAGAATACCGCAAAGAATATGAAAAACGGGAATCTGAAAGGGCCAAACAAAGAGAAAGACAGAGGCAGAAAGCAATTGTAAGCACTATGCAGATAACTTTCATTTTAGAAGAGATTTGTTTTTCTTTTGCAGATTATATATACATATATGTGTATTTTTAAAAACGTAAGACCTCTTTTTCTATCACCTTTTCCCTTTCAAACAGAACAAACAAAATGCATACACTAATCTCTGCACATGCATTTCTCAATAATTGTGATCTCTAATACTCCAATATACTTTCATTTCAATGCTCACTTTGCCTTTAAAATGTAATATTTTAAAGCTACTGTAAATCATCACTTTCTAGCTCCTAGAAGATGTATTAGAAAAGGGCTTTGTCATGGATAGTAAGCAGCAAAGTAGCTTAAATTTAGATAGCATATGAAAGTATAGCAATATATAAATCTATCATTTAAAAAGAATATTCTATGCTGTGAACAAAAATGTACTTTAGCCTAAAATTCTGATGTATCAGTGCTTCAAGGCATATCTTTATTTCCTAATTATATTAATTGTATAATAAAATTGGGTGAATCATCATCATCAGAAGGCTAATACAAAATCAAAAAGACAAGCACCATCTCTATAGAGGAAAGGAATGAAAAGAGACAATTGATTTTATGTCCTCTAAAGCAGGGGTCCTCAAACCTTTTAAACAGAGGACCAGGTCATAGTCCCTCAAACTGTTGGAGGGAGTGGATTATAATTTGAAAAAAAGGCATGAATGAATTCCTGTACACACTGCACATATCTTATTTGAAGTGCAAAAAAACCCATTTAAAACCAATACAATAATTAAAATGAAGAACAATTTTAACAAATATAAACATATTAGTATTTCAATGGGAAGTGTGGGCCTGCTTTTGACTCATGAGATAGGATTGTTGTTGTTGTGTGCTTTCAAGTCATTTCAGACATAGGTTGACCTTAGTGAGGGCCAGGTAAATGATCTTGGAGGGCTGTATCTGGCCTTCGGGCTTTAGTTTGAGGACCCCTGCTCTAAAGGGTAAGAAGATAGACAGTGCACCTAGTCATCTCTTCAGGCTTTAAACTCCATATTGAGACCTGAATCCATGACTACAAAATATGCTCTGGTTGAATTTTGGATTTAGCTCTCCCTCTCACCTCATCCTGAATATTGTATAGCCCAGCCTGATGAAAAGTTTTGAAAGTGTTGAAAGCTCCCCCTTTTAAATATAGTTTACTGGTCTGATGAAAGTGTTCACGAACTCTGTTGTTCTTTTAAAAAACTCATGTACTATATTTTATTTTTTTAATTTATTTTGTCAGAAGCAAATTGAGAATACAGTTATAATATATAAAAAACTACAAACAACATAGTTGGTCTTGTTTAATTCATCAGTTTTATTACCATTATAATGTTATGGTGTTCCATGAGTTTCTTTAGAATTATATGTTATTTTTTTTTTAGGATGCAGAAAAGAAATATTTTTGTTAATTTCGTTCCTGTGGGTGACAACAATTAATTTATTCAACATTCTCATTGCTGTGAGAATGTTTTCAAAAACTGCAGTTTCTGAACATGCTCTTGCAGTTTGAATAAAATCGCTTGGCAAATTATGTCTCCTCCTACTCCGGCAGAAATCTACTGATTTCTATGCCAAACTCCTACCCCCGACAAGGCCATGCAGTGATTGGAGGAGGGTGGTGGTCAGTCAAGTACTTTCTGGTCATTTTCTGATCCATGATGGTGTCATCTTTTTGAGACCTCCAAGGAATCTGGAAGATGTTTGCATCTTTGTGTGTACCATTATCAGGCAATATTCAGCTATCCTCAACCCCCCATGCCCAAGGAGAGATGGGGAGCAGTTTAGAATTGTCCACTAGCTAAATGAAAGGTGTTGTGTGATCCTGAGGTTGACATTATTGCTGTGCATTCAATTATTAGAACATAGCAGAACAATCTTTGGCTGAACTTTACACTTGCTTTTCTGTTACTTGGCTATGCCATGCAAGGAGGGGGCGGAGGCAAGAAAACATTGAGACTGGAAAGTGGATGTGAACATGGAGATGTGGCCAATTCTGCCTGGTAGAACTTTATGCTGTGTTTCTTCAGTGCAGGATGTTTGAGTGAAGGCTTTGGTCAAAATTATCATTGTTGAGGGTTTTCTGACACGGAATACCCTCCTGTTTTTTCCTCAGATTATAAAGAATATTCCTACTGCTGTGTTCTGTTGTATAGTCTTAATAGCCTTCTTAGAATTGTCGTTTTCCATAGAGAGGAATAACTTTCAAATTCTTTCAATCTAGAGATGGAATGGAAATGTGTTGTTTTTCTGACTCGCGTCAAACATGTAGGTCTTGACCTCTCAAGAAACAGGCAGGGAGAAAAATGGCACATTACAAGTTCATTCCCACAAATTATGGGAGTTTTTTGTAGTTGTTGTTGCTGCATAACATAAACTGCATTGTTTCTGAGAACCGTGAAAGAGTTTAAGAAATGGAACAGCACTGCAGTCAAAATCTATATGCACTGTAATTTTTACTATGCACAGAAAACTCCACAGCTTCCAGAACGGGGGAATAATTCTCATCCATTTACATTATTTTTCACTACATTTTTTCGGAAAGTGCAAAAAAATGCAAAACTAAATTGCGTATGATACATACCTTATGCAAACAATGTGGCAAAGTATTCCATGTTGTGGTTGCAACTTTTGTTGGTTTGAAAGTTATGCAACCCAAATGTTATGCAGGAAGAAAACACATTTATGCTAACTGAAGCTTCAGCTGCACATGGTCTTGTTGTGCAGCATTGCTGTTTCCTCTGTATAAAAAGTATAGGCATATAGCTGCTTTAAAGTGGTCATTTCTATATGGAAAACTGCACAGTTTTCAAGGTAGACTGGGCTGTTCCAGAGCAACTGGGTTGCTTCCAGAAAGTTTTGCAGTTTTCTGGGGAAACTGCACAGGTTTTATTGCTCATTTGTGGAAGTGGGGGGATCCCAAGTTTCTCAAAGCTGCAAGGAAAAAACTGCTTCATCGACCTCAACATCTGTTGGGATTTAGAGAAATTGAGATTTACCATTGCTTGTTCAATAAATAGTGGACACAGAAGTCATAGTACGTGGACACAGTGTGATCAAATGGGGCATTAAATTCAGTGCCAGTGGTATTTTCCCTTTTTTAAACCTCCATGTAAGAGGTCTGAAATATAACAGAAAAACCATCCTGAAGGGAAGGAGTTTTAACCTTTCCTATCCATATATGCTAGAATAAGAAACAAGTACTTAGCTGCAGACTGAATGCTTAAGGTAGTTTGGAGTTGGACTTCTCAGATTAAAAAAACTATTGTATGGTTTAGTGATGGTGCAGATGTATTGCCTTAGGCTATGCTTTTAAAAAGCAGTTCTTTGTTTGGGCACTTGCAATTCTGGGGATGCCACAGCAAAGCTATTTGAGAGTATTTCTCCATCTTGCTATATAATGTCTTTAACCAGTATACTCCCTCACTGATTTTTTTTTGTTATTCCTGCACTCTTTTCCCCTGCTTTGTCAAGGCAAGTAACAAGTGGCTTCAGCAGGGCCTGTGAACCTTGTCTTTCTATTGCTGCTGCTGCTTATTATTATTATTATTATTATTATTATTATTATTATTATTATTAAAACACTGGAAGTTGTCTTATCCATTTAACTTCCTGGAAGCTTCTGGAATGCCTGGTGATGTACCATCAAATTATTGTTCATGCCCAGCCTACTTTGTTTCTAAAATCAGATGTGGCTGGGTATGTTAAGGGTGGATGATGGGTACTACTAAACAAATGTGTTAATGGAGCAGGAAGGGAGGATGTAAGGAACTGATAAAGGCATGTTGTGACCAGATCAGGGGCGGAATTGAGTGGATGTAGCAGCATGGGTCCTTAGACCATGAGAAATGGCAGCATCCCGAAATGAGGTCAGTTGGAAATGTACATCTCCATCACAGACTAAAGCTCAGGAAAAGCAGGAACTGAAGGGAACAGGGTGAAGCAAAAAAAGGATGGGACAGAATTAATCTTGGCTGAGCTCTTATCTAATGCATTTGCCTGTTTGGTTCAGAATGCCACAGTAGCAGAAACTACACTTAGGTATTATAGCTGATGGTAACAAAGTCTTAATAAATCTGTCAACATTCAGGCTTTTATTGAGATGGAATGGAAGATGGAGAACTGTCCCCTGTCATTTCTACATATGTGCTTAAAGAGGCTTCTATGCATGAGCTAAATACTAACACTTTTTTTGAAAAGAAATACTTTGCCCTTTTTTTCTTTTTTAAGACTATAAACAAAAGCAAATATATGAACCTAACAAATACCTACATTTGGAAACAACGTTTACATACCAGACACAACCACAGGCACAATTCTACCAAGTTCATACTCACTGTCTGTTGATTTTTATCCCTTAGTATTCTACTTCCTTTAGACAAAACTATATAACCACACATGTACTTTTAATGGCGTTCATCTAATTCATAAATCCAGCAGTTGGGATTTGCCCCCATCATTGTTGTGAAAAAGGAATAATCAAGTTCTAATATTTCTTGAGTTTTGCCACCGATTTCTTCTTTATCAACATAGTCCATTTGTCCATCTCCACTAGTTTACATTTCTTTGTGAGCCATTCTTTTTGCAAAAAAGAAGTGCTAATAAAATTTTCTGTAATTTTTAATTTATATTTTTGTGTACATTTCTGTAGCAGGAAATTTGTCTTCAGTATTTTTTAAAAGTTTTCACTAAATACAGCTTTAGGCAACTTTGTTATGGCCATGAGCCAGATATTGCTCCAGCACCCGCCGAACCCAATGTGTCAGTGCACCCCAACAATTTCTTGTAATCTGACCAGAAATCATTTCTGCTTTCCATTTCCTTTTTTCTAATATCTTTATTACATAACAAAGAAAAACAGATTTATAATATAAAAAACATAGAAGGAAAATTATATTAACACAAACTATCTAATAAAACTACAATTACATAATAATAATAATAATAATAATAATAATAATAATAATAATAATAAACACACAAAAGAC